AGATCCCAATTTGAACACTATGTGTGAATGTTATAATAAATGTATTACTAGAGCTGTTGTAATTATTATTATCATTATTATTGTCTTTATTTTATTTTACAGAACAGTAAAATTACAATACTAACGTTTATGAATGTTGGAGTTCTTGCGTTTTCTCAACTTGGCAAAACGTGCAGGAAGACCTCAATGCTTCTTTTTGTTGACAACAGCAGATTTATAAATGAGTCTCATTACGAATATGTTGCACGTATTGCATTGACACATTCGTTGTAAAAATTAATAAAAATGTGACTGAGCAACTGACGAGTAAAACTGGTTCATCGCAGATTTTCTTCGCGCTTTGGACTTTGAACCCTGGTTAACAAGCAGATAGCGCTGCGAGTTTGTGCAGCACTGTCAGAATACATGCAATGCGTGTAGGCATGGGACTAGGGATGTAACGATTCACTCAACTCACGATTCGATTCACGATTTTTTTTAACAAAATGAGATTTAAGACAAATTATAAATTAAATGTCCTTTTATGAATTGTCACATATTTGAATCGATTTCCATCCGGCTTGCGGTACAATTTATTTGGTCTTTTCGCTTATTCATTATTTAATAATTTCGGTTGCCGAACATTCGGTGCATCCCTAAATTTTTTAGATTATTTCATTTTATGTTATGGTATATACAACAATGCGTCACACATTAGTTGTGTGGATTATCATCACGTTATTAAACGAATACTGGCCAATGTAAAGGCTTAAAACGCCTTACAAATTAATTAATCAAAGCTAAATCAAAAATTCATTACCAATCAATCCGACACTGCATAATACGAGGCAAATCAATCAGGCCTTGCAAATATCTTTACCAGTTTTCCATAATAGATTAACCCCTACACATAATAACCAGTCCGTCAAGAGTTTGTAGAGGCCCTACCTGGTGCCTTCCCGCCTCACACAATCAAAGAAAACTGGACATGTGAAAGGCATCTAAAGGGCTTCGTTGGCTCAAAAAGTTGTCTTAAAAAGTCCTCCGATGGGGCCGTAATCTCTAAAACCAACCGTTCCAAACACACATACATCACGATGAGGCTGCCAATCAACCCAATTCTTCACCAGAAATTACACCTCTACAAACTCAAATGATTTTTAAAAGAATATTCTACACAGCAGTTGTCTATCATACAATGTCACATCGGACGTTTTTTGAGGGCAGAGGTTGAAGATGGCTTTGGCAAAAACTGTCATGCTCAGCACTTGAACAGCTAATCTGATTGTGTTTCTGCTTTCCACTGTTGTGTGTGATTAGTGCACACAGAGAGGGACACTACAGAGATTAGACCCACTGCGTTTGCTTCTGATGTCATGAAACTCGTTTCATCATGTGACTAATCAATAGACTATACGACTCAGAGAGCTTTCATCTAGAATATAAAAAATGGAATCGATTTGCATAAAAGAAACTCAGAAACAGTGATTGTAGTTTGTTTCTCATGACAAACTGGTCTTGGGATATTAATGCAAATTAGTATGATTATGGCTATCTTAAAAATCTACTTTGTACATTCAACAGTACAGCAATGCACTAACAATGCCAAGGTCATGGGTTCCCAAGAAAATCAAGTAATGATCAAATAGATACCCTGAATGCAATGCAAGTTGATACAAGCATCTGCCAAATGCATAAATGTAACTATTACTATATATGTATTGCTAACAATGTCTGAGTAACAGATGTTTGCAGAGGACTGACTAAAAGATAAAAACTAACCCAACTCATGGACCGCAGAACAGAATATGGGCAATCGTCATAAATGATTCACAGTGATATTAAATATTGAGTAAACTGGGGCACACCTGCTTTCTCTCTCTCACACACACACACACACACACACACACACACTAAAGCTCTACAATAATACTACCTTGGAAATGTTAGGTTGCAAAATGGTTTGGATCCAAGATTTGGGTTTATTTTGCTGCTAGATTTCTCTCAATTTCAGATTGATAATGACATTCAAATTCAGTCAAACACCTTCCCCAACAAAATGTTTTTTTTTTTTTTAGACATAAAGGGAGATGCGTAAGATGATGACAAGCAATTAGCAATGATTTATTGAATTATTGAAAAGTTTCGATTATAAGCCTACTTGTATCCTTAAAATAAATTTTAGGTATTAAATCAAAAGAGACAAAGGACACATTTATGGTCTGTTAATTTAATACAGTGCTAAATAAAATCTATGACTACGTGGCATGTGAATACAATTTTGGTCCGTCTTTATGAATGAGTTAATACTGGACTAGCTCTAAATATCTTAAAGGGTGCATTACAACTGAAAAGAAAACGTAATTCAAGTGTTGCATGCCTACCTGTAGTGGACAAAGGTCCGGTTCTCATTCTGCATGCTAACCACTGCACTGCTCGCAGCCATTGAAGAGCATTATGAAGTACTGATCCGAGTCAAGTCCAGAAAGTAATCCAACAGGGAAGAATAATGAATTGAATCCCAGAAAAAAAGTTTGAATAAATTGTAAACTCTTCCAAAGTCTCTCTGACGTTTTGCAGTGGTGGAGTCCAGTGCACTACAGATGAGCTTATCCAGACTAATATTCACCACATGGGTCTGGGAAGTGAGTGTTTGTGTGTGTGTTTTGTCCAGGATGCTCTTCCGGAGCTCTCTGTGAAAAGAACACAAGATGCCGAGTGTGAAGCCTCATTCTGTGCGTAATGCCATGGCAACACCCACTAAGCGGTGGACACATGCAGTGGAGACAGATATTAAGAGTGTGTGTGTCAGCTTTGTGTATGTGAAAGCTAAATCAAGGGGCCCAACAACAAGAGAAAGAAAGAGCGACTGGCCCATGAACACAGTTGATTATCTGCCATGCAAGCAGGCCGGTACCAAATCATGAAAGTAAACGCATTCATTTTTGTGGCAAGAGAAGGGCTTTGTTCACCATTCTCTTACAAAGCCCCACAGATGTAAAAAGAATCACAGCAGGAAAAAGAGGAGACAATTTTCAACTATAATGGTAACTGTCGGTCACTTTCAAAACATATTACGCCTCTGTGACATTTGGAAAGCTGATTTGTCATTGCCAAACTAATCCAGAAATAAGATAATCAGCTTGAGGAACCATATAGTTCGCTGAAACACACACACACACACACACACACACATATAGAATGCCACTGTGGTCTAAAGTCATGACGAACTGGAAGTAGCGACAGATCTTTTCTTCTGTATTGTGACATACATTCGGGTGCAATGGATTATTGTAAAGAGAAAAAATGCTAGGCAGGGTTCTATCAATCAGATGTTGGTTGTATTTCAGATGTGGGTGTCTCACTCAAAAATTAATGTATGTTTGCGGTCAATAGTGGAAGGGCAGTGATTAAGTGGACGAAAAGGCATATGTAACCAAAGAGAATTATGTTGTTTCCCTTGAAAGTTCAAATTATGATTTTCTGATGCAAAATTATGAGGTCAAAAAAAAAAAAATTAAGCATACATGGATGGATTATTCACAAAAAAATATATATTTTTAAATTCATGCCAACTTGTATATTAATATAAATCATTAAAGACAGACAGTCAGCTGTGAGGTTGTTAGTCAATGGTATATGTTTTTGTTGAAACTCATTTTCAAAACAATTGTGTTAAAGGGTGGGAATCATGATGTTAATAAACTCTGATCTAATCAACATATTTAAAGGTCCCATGGCATGAAAATTTCACTTTATGAGGTTTTTTAACATTAATATGAGTTCCCCTAGCCTGCCTATGGTCCCCCAGTGGCTAGAAGTGGCTACTTTTATAGTTTTATACTACAGTTCTTGTATAGTTCTTTCCTCATTAAAAGACATTAAACAGTCCATTTTTTTCTTGACACCAAAAAGTGAACCACACTCAGTCTCAACCAAGAGTGCAGATAAACTGCCTGCTAAAACATGTAATAACATTTATGCCAAAGACCTTCAAATTCATTTTACTCTCATTCT